GATGTCTTGTCTGCAAGAATAGATAACTGGAATGTAAGTTAGGAATTTATTTTTGTATTTAGCCAATGAAGTTGAAAAATGAGCAAAGAGTGCCACTCATGCTAAAGTGGGGACCACTTGCAATAAAGAACCACCATCTCACCTTTGTGAAACCTTTTCTTTGCCCTGGGACCATCCTTTGAATTCAAAGTTTCTGGGACTCCACCCTTAAGTCTCTCGCCTCTTCTCACATGAGTAAATGATGCACTTTGGGTCTCAGCTCTATTTAAAATCTTAGAAGCACTGATGCATAGATGGCACTCAGGGGACATTTTCCAACAGACAATAAAGCAGCTAATGTGAAGCACAGGCATAGTCATCATCCGGATAGCTTTAGCTTTGTCAAGGGTCAGGTGATGGCTTCAATAAGATAACAGAAAAGGCAATGAATCTCCAGTGAAGAATAAGATTGTGGCTAGCAGGACTGGATTGTTTTATAGGATGGACCCCCAAAGAATCTGGGAGCAGCTAAGTCAGAAGAAGTATAGTATATTAAAAGCCATCTTGACTGATTTCAGCAGTTTGGAGGTTCATCATGATAGTGAACCTAGTTTTAGGAACCTTGGGGCAGACACAGTGCTCAAGGTTAGGCGACTGCTCACCTGGGTACAGATGGCCTTACCCAGCATCTGCCATTCAGGCTCTCTGTGAGAGAGGTCAGCCAGAGTCAGCAGCCTGTCTGAGCTGTGGTTCAGAATAGTGCACCCAACCCTAAGAACTGGGCAATAGCCATTGAAGAAGTTACACAGCAGGCTTCCCCAAAGGGATAAAGAGGATAAAATTTGTGGTTATTATTTTTGGCCTATTTTTTTGAATAATAGTGTTTCTCTTGGCCATCAAAAACCAAAATGAATGGTGAGACTGCGAATTGGTGCAACCACTCTGGAAAGCAGTATGGAGATTCCGTAGAAAACCTGGAATGGAACCACCATTTGACCCAGTTATCCCACTCCTCAGCATATACCCACAAGATTTAAAATCAACATGCTATAGTGATGAAGCCACATCAATGTTTGTAGCAACTCAATTCACAATAGTTAAGCTATGGAATCACAGTAGGTGCCCAACAAGAGATGAATGGATAAAGAAAATGTGGTACATATATACATTGGAACATTACTCAGCCATAAAGAAGAATGAAATTATGGCTTTTACTGATAAATGGATGGAGCTGTAGACTATCATGCTGAGTGGAATAAGCCTATTCCAAAAAAATAAAGGCTAAATGTTCTCTGTAATATAGGGATGCTGACTCACAATGGGCAGGGGCCAGGGGGAGGAGGTGAAGGGGAGGTTCACTGGATTGGACAGGGAGGAGTTGGAGGAAGGGAAGAGGAATGGGAATGGGAAAGACAATAGAATGAGTCAGACATTACTTTCCTATGTTCATATATGACTATATGACCAGTATAATTCCACATCATGGAAAAAAATCACAAAAATGGGAAGTTATACTCCACCTATATGATATGTCAAAATACATCCTACTGTCATGTATAATTAAAACTAATTAGAACAAATAAAATAATTTAGAACAAATAAAATAATCCAAAAAAAGCAAAAAGGAAAAAAAAATACATACATTCCTAACACTGTGAGTTATTTTCCTTGATGTTCGCCTTGAATGCAGCTATTTTCTTAATGTTGTATAGATTTCAACACAAACTTTCGGTTGCTAACTTATATGTCCCTTGCAAATTTCAAAGACCCATCTTAATTACAGAGCCTCAAGAACTGTAGAGAGAGTTCATCTTGTGGGTAAATGGGTCCTTCTGCCAGGCTGCAGAGTAGTGGAGGTGAGGAAACAGGCAGGAGGCAGGTGAGCTGCAAAGAGGATTCCCTGGGGATCCTACCACAGGAAGCCGTTTAGGGGAGAATCCTGCAAACAGGAGGAAAATGCTGAAGCATCTTGATAGCAACATGGTGAAGTTTATTTCTCATGTAAAAGAAAATGAAAAGTGAAAATAGCAATTATTATTATTATTTGTGTGCTTATTTTGTTCCATGTTGTATGTCCAGAAATTGGGGCAAGGCCTAGCGTATAGGAAATACTCAAAATATTTATGGAAGAAATGAACACACTCAATTCTACAGCTCGCCCAGTGCCTCTTTCAGATAGATTCAGGCTGATTTATTCTGAGTATTCAGTCTTTGCAACTATTTTTCCAAAGTGTCTCTTGCAACTTTAAAATAATTAGTGAGTGTAAAATATTGGAGAAACTTCTTTAGAAATCCTTATTAATACTGAAAAAGAATCCATTATTTTGACCCTACTCTAGTTAATTAATTGGATTCTCCAAATGCAATGGAATAAAGACCATAATTTTAAGGAGCAAAAAAATCAAACAAAATTTTCCTGGTCTCTTGGCCCTCCCATAAAGTTCCTTTTTATGTCCTGCTTAAAGTATACAGACTATAACCTCTTATTATTAACTTGGGATCCTTAGTGTTCACTTTGTCCAAAAGTGTGGAGTGCTGCCCTCTCCTCCCACCCTTAAATAAAGAAAAACAGAAGTTAATTCACCAGAGAGATCTGTGGACATGACCAGGTTACAGCCTTCCCCAGGGCAGGGAAACCTGATTCTCTCTTTAATAAGTAGATGGTTGACCTTGGTGACATCCGCTTACCCCTTTTACTTTCTCCTTTGAGGCTCTGGGAGCTAAGTTTTCTCTCTGGGGGATAGACCACAAAAATTCAAGCTGATATGATTTTTCAGGCCAATAAGCAAGGTGTAAGAATGAAGCAGAGTGTCCCAAGCTCAGGGTTGTTCTGCTCATCACACAGACTTATAAATACCATAAACCATCTTCCTAGGGGAATTAGTTCTGGCCTTATGGCTCTAAGTCCTAGGGATAGGAGTGCCATTTACTAAGCTCATTCTTTTCCCATGGAGATTTAAATGTGCAGGAGTTGTTTTTGTGACCTATGCCATACTCCCTACAAGGACCCTGGATTTCCTCATGGGTCCTCAAAGGCTCTCCCCAAGATGGACTCCTACTGCCCATGGTGTAAAAAGGTGGACTCAGTTCCTATCTCATTCTCCTGGGATCATGCCGACTTTGTAGGATCACCTCTTAAGTGACCCACATCCAAGTCCTTCACTCAGGCTTTGCTTTTGGGAGAGCCAAACTAAGAAAACATATACAAGGACAAGGACAAAAACTTTCCCATGACTGACAGAGCCACTAGTGTGCTGGCTGCTCATGTCATCCAAAGAAAACTCCTGGATTTGTAGTGTTGGCCCATTTCTGTGGCGTGAATACTCACACCGTGGCTACTTTTGGCGCCCAAGGGGACATCACTGTACTCAGCATGGGACTAGGTGCACCCCATCTGCCTTCCAGAAAAGCCAACTCCAGCACAACACTGCCAGAGCGGGGTCCATACGACTCTAGTAACCTACCGTCAAGGAATATCAATTAAGGATGTGAAAACTATTAGGGTGCAGCTTTCTTCCGGGTGCTCTAATCCATTGTGCTTCCTGCTGCTTTATTTATTTGAAGTATTTAAAGAATGAATATTTTATGAAATTAAATCTATTCAGAATATAAGTCACCGAGGTTGAAGACTGATGAAGTCAAATCATGTGGCATTGTTATGGTTTGGATGTGAGGTGTCCACTCAAAGCACACATGTGAAACAATGCGAGAAGGTTCAGAGAAGAAATGATCGGTTTATGAGAGCCCTAACCCAATCAGTGCGAGTATCACCTGATGGGATTAATTGAGTGGTAACTGAAAGCAGGTGGGGTGTAGCTGGAGGAGGTGGGGCATGGGGGGGCAGCTTTGAGGTATATATTTGTATCTGGTGAGTGGAGCCTCTCTCTCTGCTTTCTCATCATCCTATGAGCTGCTTCCCTTTGCCACACTCTTCCACCATGATGTCCTGCCTCATCTTGAGCCCTGAGGAATGGAACCAGCTGCCTATGGACTGCGACCTCTGAAACTGTGAGCCCCCAAATAAATTTTTCCTCCTCTATATTGTGCTGGTTGGGTCTTTAAGTCACAGTGATGAAAAAAACTTATTCATAAAACACATATTAAAGTACTTTCTGTCTCCCTAGAAGGTCAAAGGTGACACACATTGGGATAATTTAAAAAGAGGTTAGTGAAAGGTCTATTTACACAGAAGTGGGAACTTCAAAAATTGTACATTTCCCCCTATCTATTGAGTAGGGGGAAATGTACAATTTTTGAAGTTCCTCTGGGCCTCTGTTAAACCTGACGGGATAAGAGGAAGGCATAGTTATCAGCCCTGAGGACAGAAAGGGCTATGTGGAAAGGGCTGCCTGGTAGGAGTTTCAAGTGTGTAAAAGACACAGCCCACAGTTTGCAAAAGAAACTTTGCCAAAGATCTAGCCTACAGAGCCCACAGTGACTCTCACACAGTTTGCAGGAAAGAATTACCCAGGCAGCACTTCCCCTCTTCCTTCCAATCTCCTCCTTGGGCAACCCTTTTGGCAAAACCCACACTGCCCTTTAGAAGTTTCTGACTGGTTCTGGCAGAACCTGCGTGCTCACGTGAACCTCAGAGGACTACCTGTGTTGGCACGTGAAGATGTTTTCATGGAGTGGACTAATTGAGGCCATAAAGAATTACTACCAAGGTAGGTTGCACCGTGAAATCATAACCACACTGGGGCTCTTGGGAAGGATCAGGAAGTGGAATCCACAGTAAGGCGGATCAGCCTGCTGGGAAAGCTGGGCTTTAACTAATGAAAGTACCACAATTGAAGTTGGAATAAGCCGGTTCGTCTTGCGAAGAGTGGAAAGTTAGGAGGCAAGTATGCCAGGGAACATTCTGAAGGAAATCCAAGGGAAAGGTGTCTAGACAATATGAAGGAGTGGCTGGACAACATCGTCAGCTGGTGACACAAATAACTATCTGTAAAGTTAGCGGCTCTGAATGGTTGCCATAGAAACTCTTGGAATGGAACAATGGGGTTTCTAGCAATGCTTTCTTTCCAACGCACTAAAATGTTGGCAGAAAATCTCTTTGATTTTATTTTTATGTTCTTGACTACTGACCTGTCCCTGTGGAAAGCTCCAGGTTTAAGAATATGGGCCTAGGATCTGCATTTGATGTGACCTAGATTTTGACCTCATTTTCCTTTTCAATCTTTGGTCAACAGGTTTCAGACAAACTACGAAGTCTGAGACTTAGATTTTGACCTTGGCATTACTTTCCATTTGCCGAATTTGGGATAGGGTCAGGTGGCAGAAAGGCTGTTTGAAATACAATTTTTGGAAAGATGTCCATTAAAAGAACTAGTGCTGGTGATTCTGATTGGAGTCACTGGATTTCTGGAGGCTGAGATTTCCGTCTGGGTTTTGGTGAGTGCTGTGTAAAGGATTTACGGTATCTTGCAGCTTGAATGATGTATGTCAGCTTGTCATGCAGCCTCTCTTTCCACAGATCTGGGGCTATAACTTCATTATGACCTTTTATCTGGGATGAGTCACACAGAAAGTAGCTTAAGTCTACAAAGAAAAAAAAGAGAGGGTATGATATGCTAAACAGAAGAGCAAGAGAGTTTATCAGGATGCCTTTTGTTTACAATTAAGAAAACAACAACCCAAACAGGCTTTACTAACCTGAGGTTATTGAAGTTCATGGAAAGTTCATGAACTTCATGTTTAGTTTGTACATAGTTCAGTGAGTCTCAGTTCCACCCTCTTATGCGCATCATTTTTGTCCTCATGATGTAGAAAGAGCTACCATTGCACCAAATCCACAACCTTCCTCTTTCAGAGAATAAACATCCCCTTTCCAGAATCCTTTGGTAATTTCAAGAAGTCACTGGTTATGTTGACTTGAGCCACACACATATTGCCAAATAAATTATGCTGTTAGAGCAATAGAGGGAATATATGTTTTCCACCTCCGGAGTGTGTGCTTCCAGGCACTATTATAGGAAGAAAGGCATGGTGTGAATGGCATAGAGATCACTGTGGCATCCAAAAGTGAGTTGCAGAGAAATAGAGGCCTGAAAGGAGAAGGTGGTGATGATGAGGCTGATTTCATCCTGTAATGACTTCAGGCAATACCAACGCTGAATCAGAGACAGTATTGCCAAAATAAGTCAAAGAGGCTATACCAAACAAGACAATAATACTTAGTGCCATCGCCTATAAACTGTGTGTGTTCTTGGATGTGCTGGTTTATTTTTCTGAGTCTTAGTATTTTTTTAACTGTAATGTATGCAATAATAATTAACATGTACAAGGTTTTACTGATGATTAATGAAGATAGTGAAACTAAAGTCCCTATTGCTGAATTTGGCATAAAATAAGAACAAAATAAATGGTAGCATTAGTAGTCACAGTGATAATTTATTGCTACCATTTTCAGCATATTAATGTATTTCCAAGGTAGTAATTACTGTATTTTCACTTGTTAATTATAAAAGATGGTGTTTTGAAAGGATTTTCATTAGTGTGTAAAGAATTAATATTAGAATTAATAACAACACCTTTTATTTAATACTAAGTAATATAATTTGTGCATATCCATAACATTATTAATTTTCTGTTTTATATAATTACAAGGTACTACTTTGTATTTACTTTTAATAATTTAAATTAAATACAAAGTTTAAATATTTAATTTTAATAATTTCAGCTTATAAGATTTGTCTTCTTAGTATATAGCTTTATAGTACGATCATTGCAAAAGACCAATAAATAGTGTTTTTTGATGGTTATGATTCACTGTCATTATTTGTTAATAGTTATTAATCAGAGTTTGTTGTTTTGTATACATTCTTTTGTTTGCAGTGCCATGTTATTTCCCACTCTGGTATTCCATTCCTAATGTGTGCAATGATCTAACTTTTGAAAGTGATGTCTGTGTGGCTGTGATCGACATCAGTGAGTGGCTGCATTCATAGCAATGCTTTGCTTGGTCTGCTTTTTATTCTGTACTATGACTTGTCTTTGGCAATCTTATTCATATAAGCTGCTTTGATAAGCACAGGGTTTCAGACAATGGGTCAGATAAAAGCCATACAACATGGCAGTAATTAATGTATTTATGTCTCTCAAACTATCTTGTCTGGCCCTACTCAAAACTGTATTTAATTTTTCTTATTTGCACATACAATTCCATGTTCATATTCACACTTGTTGATTCTTCTTTTCCAGTATTTTTGCTCAATTTCTATGGCAATCATGTTTTTAGTTTCAAATCTTTCTCTTTCTTTGGAAGCCTTTATCATAATCATTCATGTACTCTAATCTGTGTGGGTTTTGCTCTAATATTTCTTAGGCCTTTTTTCCATGATTTCTCTGGGTTCTTGTCCAATTTCCAATCATCATAATACATCCCAAAACATTAAAATCTTTGCGTAAATTTCAAAAACACATACAATTATTTGATCAAGTAAATAAATGATTAGAAACTTGGGATTCTTGAAAATATTTTGTGTGCCATATTAAATTTCAGTCAGGAGGCATGAATTTGTTATTAGATAGTACTATAAATTCTAAATTACTACTTTTCTTGGGGGGGTGATTACTAAGGATTGAACCCAGGGGCACTTCATCACTGAGTCACATTCCCAGCCCCTTTAATTTTTTTTATTTTGAGATAGGGTCTTGCTAAGTTGCTTAGGGCTTTGCGAAGTTGCTGAGGCTGGTCTTGAACTTCAATCCTCCTGCTTCAGCTTCCTGACTCGCTCAGATTACAGGCATGTGCCACTGCACCACGGTCTAACTAACTTTTAAATATCAAGTCAATAAATTGCTCAGAAATGCATGCAGTTCTTTGTAAAAACAAAACAAACAAACAAAAACCTGCTACCTCTCACTTTTACGCATCAATATTTATTGATTGATTTGT